AGCACCACCAGCTCTGGCAGCTCCAGCACCTCAAGTACGAGCACCTCCAGGACCAGTAGCTCCAGCAGCTCCAGCACCAGTAGCACTAGCACCTCCAGTGCCAGCAGCTCCAGTACCTCCAGCACCTCCAGCAGCACCTCAAGGACCTCCAGCACCAGCAGCTTCGACAGCTCCAGTACCTCTACGAGCACCTCCAGGACCAGCAGCTCCAGCAGCTCGAGCACCAGTAGCACCAGTACCTCCAGTACCAGCAGCTCCAGTACCTCCAGCACCTCCAGCAGCACCTCCAGCACCTCCAGCACCAGCAGCACCACTCGTACCTCCAGAACCCGCACCCCCTAAGCACCCCCAGAACCCGCACCACCAGTGTCACCACCCGCAGCAGCACCAAAGTCCACAGCAGTAGGCTGTGGAGGCGGCGAAGACGGCCGAGGCAGAAAACCAGGGGGGGGTCTCCAAGCGAGGAGAGTGGCGAGTGGCCACCGTCTCGACAGCGGCGGGGTCACCCCCCTCTGACGGGCCAAAGGAGTCAGAAGAGATCTCCAAAGGCTCAACCAAGGGGGGTGGGTCTACGTGAGTCACACCTATGGGAGCAGGACCCTGTGGGGGGAGGGGGTCTACCGGGGGGGGAACTGGTACCAGGAAGAGAGGCGCCAGGGGGACCGGGTGGGACGCGTGCGGTTGGAGCCTGTAGAAGCAGACCGACTCGTCAAAGGTGACGTCCTCGGAGGAGAACACGCGACGGTCGCAAGGGTGGTAAAACTGCCACGGCGGGGCGTCGGTGGGGAAGCCAAGGAAGTCGCAGCGGAGAGTGCAAGGAGAGAGCTTGCTCGCGGTGGTATCGCAAACAAGGGAGAGCGCGCCCCAGACCCGAAACGCCGACGCATCGCCAACCTTTCCCGTCCAACGGAGTGTGGGCGGGTCTCTGGCAAAGAGACACGGGGCCAGATTTTGAGGTGATGTGCGGCGTATCGGACCGCAAACGGCCACAGAAAATGGGGAGCAGTCGCATGGATGATGGAGGTGCGAGCAACCTCCATCACCAAGCCAATGCGGCGCTCTGCAGCCCCATTCTGATGTGGAGAGGCCGGAAGCATGAACGTCTGGCGGATGCCCTGGTCTCGACAGAGATTCGCAAGGAGGCCAGAAGAGAACTCACCGCCCCTGTCAGAGTGCAGACGTAGGACTGGAAGGTTCTGCCGAAACTGCTCGTGCAGGTGGAGACGAGCAGCGCGGATCCAGGGGATCAAAACACCAGTGACGTCCGCCTTGCTGCGCAAGGGGAAGACCGTGGTGTAGCGCAAGTAGTCGTCAACGACCAGCAAAAAGTAGCGCTCCTTGTCCGTCCCACTGACGCGGGCTGGGCTCCACACGTCCATGTGGAGAGTCTGCAGAGGAGCAGTGGTCGGAGGAAACTCGGAGCAATGAGGAGCGGCGCGCTGCCGCCCCTCGGCGCATGGAAAGCACGGCGGGGCAGGCGAGCGCGGGAGTGGGGGCAGTAACCTGAGAAGGCCTGAGAAAAGGAGACGGGAGTGCATGCTGCGCAGACGCAGCAGAGAGGGGTGACCGAGTCGGTGGTTCCAGAGGAGAGTCTAGTGGGAAAGTACATGACACGAGCAAGACGCTACAAGCTGACCAGACGCACACACCTGACTCGACGCATCCACCTGACCTGACGCAGCCACCTGTGCAGACGTAGTGGTCAGGGTGTACAGACTGGACCCAGGCTGCCGAGTGAACGTATCAAGGTGACGTCCAGTTTGGGAGGACGTACAGATCGCCACACGCTGCCCTCTAGGGATAAAGGTATCAACCCAAACATCTTGAAGGAGTGTGTTGCTCACCAAGTTCGTCGAGAACGAGGGGAGGTGGAGGCCTGAAAGAGAGCCCTAGGGGACTGCCAGACACGGGAGGACAGTGGAGGCTCGCGCTACTACTGGGCCCCCAGTGGGGTCAGCCAGTGATGCTGGGACAGGTGCTGCGAGCGGTATGACTGTGGTTCAATCACGAAAGAAGCAACGTGACGCTCCTGAGTCAAGTGTAAAAGTGTGCAATGCCTCAGCTGAGGCAGGACCAGTGGCAGTAGACTCACTACCACCTAGAGCTGCAGCAGACTCACTAGCACCTAGAGCAGCAGCAGACTCACTAGCACCTAGAGCAGAGCCTCTACACAACAAGGGACGCCTCGCTGAGAAACACAGTCGCGAAGCCGCTGCAGGGAGAAGGTCTCCTGCTGCCGCCGTTGTCTAGACCATATAAAACCATAACCTCCACCACCAGGATGGCCTCGCTGAACGATCCACTCACGAATCTGCTGTGGTGAGAGAGTGTCCAGGTGCGCGGGCTGTCGCTACTGTCCAGCACCTCCAGCACGATAACCTCCACCACCAAGACGACCTCGCTGAATAACCCACTCGCGAAGCTGCTACTGTGATAGAGTGTCCGGGTGAGGCAGTGGCTGCTGTTGTCCACCCCTAGACGCTGCTACGACTATGACAGTGGCCATGATAGGCAGTGGCAGTCAGTAGCAGCGGCGCAAGGGCGGTAGTAGCGACTGTTGTAGCTGCAGCTGTAGCAGTAGCTGCAGCTGTAGCAGTAGCGGTGGTCGCTGTGGCTCTAACAGTAGGAGCGACAGTTGCAGTGGCTCTGGAGGCCAGTAGGGTGCGTGGGCAGCAGGGGACGGGCTAGCGCAGTAACAGCAGCAGTGGCAGCAGTAGCAGTAGTAGCGCTAGCGGCTGCAGGGCAGAGCAGCGCGGGCCGAAGGGCAGGGCAGCACGGCTCGCGGGTTGCAGAGCAGGGCGGCGTGCGGGCCTAAGGGCAGAACAGCGCGGATCGCGGGCTGCAGAGCAAGGCAGAGCGGCTCTAAGGGCAGGGCGACGCGCGGGCCTAAGGGCAGGGCAGTGCAGCGTGTGGGCTGCAGGGCAGGGTAGGGCAGTGCGGCTCAGGCGGCAGCAGCAGCCTAGCAGCAGCAGCAGCTTAGCAGCAGCAGCAGCAGCCTAGCAGCAGCAGCTTAGCAGCAGCAGCAGTGCAGCAGCAGCTTAGCAGCAGCAGCAGTGCAGCAGCAGCAGCACAGGTGGCAGCAGCAGCCTAGCAGCAGCAGCAGCAGCAGCAGCAGCCTAGCAGCAGCAGCAGCAGCAGCTCAGAAGTAGCAGCAGCGCAGCCGGCAGCAACATCTTAGCAGCGGCAGTAGTGCAGCAGCAGCAGCACAGGTGGCAGCAGCAGCAGCTCAGCAGTAGCAGCAGCGCAGCCCGCAGCAGCATCTTAGCAGCACCAGCACAGGTGGCATCAGCAGCCTAGCAGCAGAAGCAGTGCAGCATCAGCAACACAGGTGGCAGCAGCAGCACATGTGGTAGCAGGGGCTCGGCAGGGCAGAGCGCAGGTGCAATAGCGCGTGTAGCAGCAGCAGTAGCAGCAGTGCTTAGCAGCAGCAGCAGCGCATGTAGCGTTAGCAGTGCATGTAGCAGCAGCAGTAGAAGCAGCACGCTTAGCAACAGCAGCAGCGCTTAGTAGCAGCAGCAGCGCATGCAGCAGTAGCAGCTTCATAAGGGACAGCAGCAGCAGCGCGCATCAGCGCGGATGGGCAGGGCGCAGGCAGGGTGCGCGTGAGTGCGGGTGGGGTGTGCGCGGGCAGGGCGTAGGCCGGGCACAGGCTGCTGGCGGGCAGTGCGAGCGGGCAGGGGCGCAGTGGCGCTCGCGGGCAGGGGCGCAGTGGCGCTTGCGGGCAGGCAGAGCGCTCGCGGGCGGGCAATGCGTTAGGCAGCTGGCAGCGTGATTGCGGGCAGGGCAGGGCAGCGCGATCGCGGGCAGGGCAGGGCAGCGCGCGATTGCGGGTGGGGCAGGACAGCGCAATCGCGCTAGAGGGGCAGCACGTAGAACAGCGCATGCGGCAGCACTAACGGCACCCGTGGGGAAAAACGAACAGTGCTGCCTCAGGGCAGCGCGCTACGGGCAGTTATAACCTAGCAGCGCGACGCAAGCTTTCCATGCGTCAGACAGTGTTGTACTCCCTACAGCCCTACTCACTATAGCCTCAACATAATGTATAACATTTGACAAATTGGACCACGAATGTGATAAGAAAGGGAGTTGCGCACGTAGGGGTACCGTGCTTCAGACAGACGTTGGACAAAAAAATTGAGACGTATGTTCTGTCAAGCCTAGAGGCAGGTATTTTTGTTATTTACCGCATTCAAGAAAGAATGTTATTATTATGCTAAACAAATTCAACAACCCTAATCACTATTATTCTTACAGAAGGTACATTGTTCTGGGACACTGCTTAGCTATAATCCCATCGCACTGGCGCTCTGATGGGAATCCAGACCTATGGGAGTGCCTCGGTGGAGGTGACGGACTCCAAGAGGCCATGTGGATCACCACCTGGGATCCATGTGGACATCGAAGCACCATCCGAACCATCCGTCTGCTCGTTCGGATGAAACCCTAACTGAGCTACACCGCAGACGATAATCGGTAAGTTCACCGTCAAGTTCCTGACGGCCGTCAGGTTTTCTGTCTGTGTTGCTGGATTCAGGAACCACCAGGCGGAGTTGGTTTGACTTCTTGAAAACCTAAAATTGATGCCCGTCTTTGCCTTTGCCTGTTTTCTGTTTCTACGCAATGGCTCAGACCACGCACGAAACCCTAGATGGACTTTTAGGTTAGGTTCCCTCAGTTTCTTTCCCCCGAATAACGTGACTGTCGTCGCTTCTTTCATTTCCTTTTGGATGTAGGTTATTGTATTCGATTTCTGTTTATGGTATCGTCAGGCGTAGGCTATTCTCGGTCGTCTAGGGTTCCATGGAGGCGTCAGGGAGTTGAAGGGAGGCCTTGGGTCTCGTGTGTGCGAGATGGAGTTGCATCGCGGGGAGGGGTCCGCGGAAATCTCGTCAGGTCGTTTCCAGGCGCCTCCCCTCGGCGTGCCGTGCTCGCGGCCCGTCTCGGTATCGGACGTTCTGGCAGACGGCGGCCGGCTGTTCTTGCATTCGTCCAGAGGCGTCATGGGAGCCTCGATATTACCGCAGAAGCGGCTGCTTGCCGGCCCGAAACAGAGCGGATGGTTTTCCGTTTCTGACGCGTCCGGAGCGACTCTGTCCTTCTCGGGAGCGTCTGCTCGGAGCGACTCAGCTTTTTCCAGTCGCAGCCGCAACGGCGGCGTTAACGGGACGGCTAACGGAACGCATAGCGGAGTGCATTCGGGGGATCTCGCAGCAGCGGCGACGGCGTTAGGTTTACAGCCGGTGGTTCTTTCGTGCAGCCGCAGCGCCGCCGAGCGAGCGAATCGCCTGGCATTCCAGACGAGTGCTTCCGATAGAGGGTCTGATTCGTTCAAAGAACCCGACTCGTTAAAAGGACCCGACTCGTTTCGCTGTAGCGTTCGTCCTGGTGAGGAGTCCTCCAGCCTTCAGAGCATCCGTCAAGATTCGACGGTGAAGGATGCACCGCCGAGTCTGGGGTTCTCTAGTCGCTTGCTCTCGCCTTCTCGCCACCGGCAGCGGTCGCAGAGAAAGCATGGCGAGGCGGTAGCGCAGGCAGGAGGTAGAGACGTGAGCATCGGAGACGCGTCGAAGAGCGACGACGGACGGAAGGACGCGCGCAGTCGCAGCCCGCATGTTCATGGCAGGGTGTCGCACAAGGAGTCGGATAAAGTTTCGCAGGAGTCGTACAAGGATTTGCACGGGCATTCGCACAGGGAGTCTCATGTCACGCATCAGGAGCGAGAATTGCAGGGCGCGGAGTTAGTAGAGAGTACAAAGCCGCATTCTGACGTTAACCGTTGTGAGTCAGAGCAGCGAAAGGCGATAGACGGGGATAACTCGTTTCCGCGAGGGCAGCGATTCCAGCAGCAGCAATGTGACGGGCGATTACCCGCAGAGGACGCAGGGACAGGGGACACGGGTATGGGGACTGGTGAAGGTGCCAAGGGCGAGCGTGGGAGTTGTCTGTCGTTATCTGTTGCAGATCTGAAGGCCAAAGCAAGCCAGGGGAAGACTCGAGGTTATCAGGCTTCTGGAGCCTCGTCTGAGCAGCAGTTGGTGAGACGCAAAAACCGACCTCCCTTTTTTTTGTGTGTGATTTTTTTTTTTTCGCTGGATGCAGTCGCGCACTTTTTTCTTTCTTTCTTTCTTTCTTTCTTTTTTTCTTTTTCTACGCGTTTGTGCGACTAACATCTTGTTCTCCTGTGCTTTTGTGCAGATTGGTAACGCAGGGACAGCAGCAGAGCGGATATCCTTTCACAGCAGCTTATTACCTGACCCCACGGCGGCAGAAAACTCTCCAGCGGCAGCAGTGGTTCACGAGCTAGTCTTCAAAGCGAAATCAATCACACCATCAGATCAATTACTCGCCGATAACGACATTTCCAGGCGAACAGGGTTACCACTGGTCAGTCATGCGCTGATGGACTGCGGGAATTTTCTCTACCCTCCGTTCAAGAAGGCTCGAGCCACCAGGGAACCCAAGTTTCGCAAGCCCAACGTGAGCCGACTACAAGGCCTGGCCGAACCTCCGTGCTGCACAGGCTCGGAACCGAACCTGTCGTTGAGCCTGTCCTTGCAAGACCGCAATACCGAGCGTGAATCGCCACCCGCCCCGCTGTCTGTGACCACGCCTCGCGCTGATAAGCACAATGGCTTATCAGGGGAGAGTCAGCCCGCCCGTCCCAGCACGCCAGTTCCCCCCGCTACTCCGTCCTTCTCGCTTCTGGAAGGCCCTCTGTCGTTTTCCCCGATCACGCCGGAGGGGGAACTCTCGCTTGACGATTCCGCGACTGCCGCCCGCCTTCGAGCCGTCTCAGCCGCTCGGGCAGCCGTAGAAGCACGCGCATTCGCCGTCAGAAAAGCGCGAGCGGCTTTACGGGCAGCTGCGAAGGCGAAGGAGGCGGTAGCGGCGGTGGTTGACGCGGAGAAGCACGAACGGGCAGCAGGAGAGGAAGCGAGCCATAGCTGCCCAGTCAACGGTGTAAATGGGTATCTGGGGGCTGATGCTGTGGGGACGGGCGATTTAGTGGCGGGAGGGGAGCTGGACGGTACAGACGTGTCCAGGAACGGTGCAGTGCGGTTTTCTTCGAGGTGGCGGCAGGCCTTGTCGGAGCTAGAGGCGCGCTGTGAATGGCTTCTAACGCGTACAGGAGCAGCAGCTGCTGATAGCGAGACAGGCGGGAGAGCCGTGACGGCAGGTGCAAAGCCCGAGGAGTGCGAGCAAGGGGAAGAGCGGGGAGTTGGTGAGACTGCTACGGGTTTCAGGGGGAGAGGCGAGAGTGGGGGGAGTGGTGGCTCTGAGATTCCGCTCGGGCTCAATCCGTCTGCAGGAAAGAGCGGGGGCTTTGAGATTCCGCAGGGCGCTCATAACACGCTGGACCTCCACCTGAGTAGACCTGACGTCGCTGATTCTGCCCTAGCGCTGGCAGTCAAGGAAGAGGAGACGACCCGTGGGGAGAAGGAAAGGGGGTTGGCTTCACGAGAACGGTGCTTGGCGTGGGGTGATGAGACGGCAGAGGGGAACGAGGCGGGGGTGCAAAGCGGCGAGGTACGGCGGTGTGTGTCCGTGGACCTGGTGATGGGCCTGGGCCGCTCGTCTCAGGGGCAAGACGGCAGTGACGGGTGTTACGTGGGTGGTGCTGATGGGAGAGAGGGAGCCGGGCAGGCTGCAAGAGAGAAAGGAAGGGTAGAGAGACGGAAGGGGCGGCGGGAAGCGGAGGAAGAGGAAGAGGAGCAGGAGGAGGAGGAGCAGGAAGAGGAGGAGGGAGCGGTTGAGATGGAGGAGCTGCATCTGCCGCCTGTTTCGCGGGAGAGTGAAGAGTACAAGCAGCCACGACCGCCGCCGCTGCCATTTGGTGCAGCGCACTGCAAGCTCGGTGACGCCGAGCACCGCAAGCCGGGTGAGGGTGAACGTGAACATGGCAAGCAGTGGCATTCCAAGGCTGGGAGTGGCAGCAGCCAGGGGCGCAGCCGCGGATTCAGCCCGCGTGACCGCCCAGATGGGCTGGCAGGCGCGGCGGTGGCTGTTGAGTCGACTCAAGCTTCAGATGCGAGGGTTTCAATCAAGGCGGGTTGCGAGAGGCGAGGGCAGCACGGGTGTGGCGACTTGGGGGAGCAGCGCGAGGGTTACGCGTCAGCAGCAGCGTGCAGTGGGGACGAGACGCGACAGCTGATGCCCCGCCACGGGGGCTTCTGCAATGCTGCCGCTAACAGCGGTTTTCCGTCCGCAGATGGCAATGCTGCTTCAGCAGGTGGCAATGCTGTGTCAGCAGGTGGCAATGCTGTGTCAGCTAATACCGCAGATGTATCGAGCATTCATGCAGGAGCCAGCGTCCCCGCGACGGCTTGCAACCACCATGCCACTGCGTGCTGTTCTGACCCGGGTGTGGTTGGGGACGGTGATGAGGAGAAGAGCGTGCGAGAAGTGAGGCAGGAGGGCGGTCAGGCGTGTGGCGAGGGGTCGGCAGCAACGGGTGGGGAGAGGGATGCTGAGAAATGCGCAGGACGGAATGGTGGTGGTGGTGGTGGTGCTGTCATTGTCACTGATGCTGGTGATGCAGGTGGTGGGAGGAAGGCACAGGCGACCGAGTTTTGTGGGGATGAGGGTGGACAGGGCGTTGGAGGGCACAACATCGGGATCGTGGGCGTGGGGCGACGCACAGGGGCAGTGGCCTGTGCATCAGCGGGTGCGGCCGGAGGTGTGGGCGGAGGGACTGTAGTAGGAGAGGAGAAGGAGATTGGTGGAGCCAAGGAGGGGACAGAATCTGCAAGTGCTGCTGCGGGTGCTGCCGCTGCTGCTGTTGCGTCTGATAATGATGCTGCTGTTGCTGCTTCTGATGCTGACGCCACTGCTGCAAGAGCTGCAGACGCCGCTGTTCCTCCCGCTCTTCCCGCCACTTCCACGCCTGCGAACACTGCAGCTGGTGCCACTGCCTGTGCTGTTGCTGCACCTTGCACCACTGCCGCCACCATCACTGCCAGTGCTGGTTCCCTGGGTACTCGCCCAGCAATGAGTCCCGCTCCCCCCGCTGCCCCCACTGCCACCCCCTCTGCCCCCGCTGCCCCCAGTGCCCCCACTGCCGCCACTGCCGCCACTGCCGCCGCTGCCCCCACTGCCGCCACTGCCCCCACTGCCGCCACTGCCGCCACTGCACCCACTGCCGCCACTGCACCCACTGCTGCTGCTGCCCCCACTGTCACCACTGGCCCGACTGTCCCTCGCCCGTGCGAGGATGAGAAGCCAGCACAGCAGCAGCGCCAACCCTTTAACAGCTCCCCTCGTACCACTGCCGCGGCCGCCACTGCTGCTGCTGGCACTGCCACTGCCGTTGCTGCCTCTAGTGTCACTACCGCAGATGCCTCTGCTGCATCTGCCGCTGCTCCCTCTACCACTGCCGTCGCTACCTGTGGTGTCACTACCGTGACTGTTGCTGCCTCTGCCACTGCTGCCCCTGCTGCTCCGCGTGCTGCTCCTGTTGCTCCTGCAGCTGCTGCTGCCGCCGCTGTTGCTGCTGCTGCTGCTGCTGCCCCGCCTGCTGCCGCTGTCGCCCCTGCAGCTGCTGCTGTTGCCCCTTCTGCTGCTGCTGCGTCGCCAGGCAGTGCGGCAGCAGCGGGCGCGGGCACTCCGCGACAGCGCTGCCCGTCAGACGACGAGAGGCTGGCGCGGCAGCTGCACCGCGCCTTCAACAGCTCCCCGCGCATCCTCGCCGTCCTCGCGCCCACGCCCAAACGCTCCCGCAACCCCCGCCACCCCGCTGCGCCCGCTGCCGCGCCCGCTGCTGCGCCTGCTTCTGCGCCTGCTGTGGCTAATCCTGCGCCTGTTGCTCTTGGGGTGTCTGGGAAGACAGGACGGGGGAGTGCGGGGGAGGCGAAGGGGAGAGGAGAGGCTGCGGGGAAAGCAGAGGTATGGGGGAAGGTGGCAGTAAGGAGAGATGGGGCGGCGAAGGTAGGAGAGGGCAGCGATAAGGATGGGAAGGCTGCTGGAAATGTGGATAGGGCCCAAGTGAAGGAGGACCGTGAGGTTGAAGGTGTGGGTTCTGGTGTTGCTGGTGCTGCTGGTGTTATTGGTGTTGTTATCGGTGGTGGTGGTGTTGGTAATGCTGATAGGTGTAAAGCTCCGCCGAGTGACACTCCAACTGGCGGACCCACCCCTGTGGCTGCTTCTGCTGCTGCAGCTTCTCGTGCTCCGCCTCTCCCGCCCCTTCCTTCTCTTCTTCCTTCCCCCCCTCCTCCTGCCGCTGCCGCGGGCTCATCCTGCACTCCCCCGTCTCACTTGCCGCCCCCATCATCTGCCGAGGCCCCCCTCCCGCCCTGCGCCACTCCCCCTGCCGCTCCACCCTGCGCCACTCCCCCTGCCGCTCCGCCCTGCGCCACTCCCCCTGCCTCTCCGCCCTGCCCCACTCCCCCTGTCGGCCCCTCTTGCACCAAACCCCGCCCCATTTCCCTCGCCTTCCTTGATGTAGCCCACTTACCCCGCGCAGGTGACGTCAGCCCTAAGAAAGATCTCTGTCCCAAGTTGGCTGTTGCTGAGACTGAGGCAGGCAGAGGGGCGGCAAAACAGGAGAATGGGGAGAAGGCTGGAGCGGGCCGCGGGCAGACGAACGGGCAGATGGACGGGCAGGCTGGCGGGCGGGTAGATGGGCAGGCGATTAGGGTTTCGGATGTGACCCCGGGGGATGGTGGGACGGGAGGTGGTGGGAGTGGGGGGTTAGGATTGAATGGTCGGGGCGCGGAAGAGGGCCGTGTGCGGAAGCGAGGGGGTGAGGGGGGAGGAGGGTCAGGGGGAGGTGGCGCAGGGGGATGGGGGGGTGGCGGAAGCTGTGGAGGGGGTAAGGCGGGTAGTAATGGGAGGGGAGGGGCAGCAGGCGGAGGGGGTGGGGGTGGGAATGGGGCGGGGGGCGGTGCAGGGGGGGGCACTGGTGGTGCCGGGGATGGCGGAAGAGAGGGCGGCGGAGGGGGAGGGGGAGGGAGTGGAGGGAGGGCGGGGGATGTTGCTAGTGAGGAGGAAGAGGAGGAGGACAGAGGGCGGAAGGGAGGGAGGAAGGCGGGCAACGGCAAGAGGTGTGAGAGGAGAGGCAGCACCAGAGAGACTAGTGGGAATGGGAGGAATGGGAATGTTGGCAGCAGCAGCAGCGATGATAGCTTGAGTAACCGTGAGGAGGACGAGGGGGAGGAAGATGAGGAGGAGGAGGAGGATGATGGAGAAATGGACGGTTCAGATGATGAGAGCAGCCCCAGGCGCAGCAGCATCGCCAGCAGTCGCGACGGCAGCAGCAATGGCAGCAGCGGGAGCAGCGACAGGGAAGGGGAGGAGGAGGAAGAGGAGGGAGAGGATGAGGAGGAAGACGAGGAGGAAGAGGAAGAGGAGGAAGATGAGGAGGAGGAGGAGAAAAAAGGTGTGGAGCAGAAGGCGCAGAGGAAGCAGCGAAGGAGCTTGAGCGGGGCTCGAAGTGCGCAGGGTGGCAGGCGAGGCTCGTGGGGGCGGTGGGACGAGAACGGCGGGAAGGGCAGCCGCGACAAAGGCAGCGGAGGTTCGGCCCCTAGCGGCAGGGGGGAAAGGGAGAGGGAGAGGGAGAGAGAAAGGGAGAAGGAGACGGAGCGGGAGGGGAGTCCGGACGTGGGGGGTGGGGGGGCGTGGGCGAGTGAGGCGGGTCAGGAGGGTGGCGGAGCCAAAGCAGGTTTGCGAGTGAACCACCACAGGGGCAGCGGCCGGGCGTCAGAGGGGGCGATTTTGGGCGGAGACACGTCTCCCGTCATTCCCGTACCTTCGAAAGAAGCTCGGCAGCCGCGTTCGCAGCTGGTTTGTCACCCGAGGCGGTTCCCGAAGCTGGCTTTAGCGGGGATAGTGGAAGGCGAGGGTGGTGAGGAGGGTAAGGAGGGGAAGGGCGAGGGGAAGGTGAAGGAAAGCGGATGGGAGAAGGTGAAGGGGTTGGTGAGGGAGAAGGAAGGGGAGAAGCGAGATAAGAGGCGGAATGGGTTGGGGGAGGAGTATGGAGGGGAGAGGATCAAAAGGGCTTGGGAGAAAGAGAAAGAGGGGGTGAGGATGAGTGAGGTCGAGGGTTTTATACAGAAGCAGAGGGACAAGGGTGGCGGGATGGAGAAGCAGAAGAAGCGGGAGAAGGAGAAATCAAGAGAACGAAGCGTTGCAGAGGAGTGGGGAGTGGTGGCTGACAGAATGAGTGAGTGGGGGGCGGGGAAAAGCAAGGGGAAGGCAGAACCGGTGGGGAGCGGCGAGTGGGAGAAGGAGCGGGAGAGAGGCGCCAAGGCTGGGTTTGCGGAGAGGGAGGCAGAGAGCAGAGCGAAGCTTAAAGAAGGGAAGGATGCGAGTGGGGGCATGGCGTGGGGAAGGGCAAGCGAGAGAGGGAGGGATCACTTGGGAGACTTGGGGAGGAGTAAGGGAAGAGAAAGCGGCAAGGAGGGAGGGTTGGGGGACGAGAGGGAGAAAGGTCGGGCGGTTTCGGAGAGGCCAGAGGGTGATGAGCGATACGAAGCGGTTGAGAGAGTCAAGGACAAAGAGAACATCCGAGGACGACTCAAGGATGTGGGGGATATTGAGAGGGCGGAGAAGAGCAAGCAGGAGGAGCGGAAGAGTGAGAAGGGAAGGGGCAAGGGGCGGGATAACCACGTGTTAGTAAGGAGCGGAGAGGGTGGAGAGGCATGGATGGTCGAGCCGAAGAGAAAAGACAAGTCTGAGGGCTTTGTGGGTGGGAAGCAGCAGCGGGACGGGGTAGGGCCACATTCGCTAGTGTCACACTCGTTAGTGCCTTCGTTACTGGCTCGTGCTACTGTAGCTCCGCAGGTGGAGGGGAAGCGATGGCGGAAGAAGGGTATTGTGGCGGGCCGGGCGCGGAGTGCTGTAGAGCAGGACACTATAGAGGATGTGCTCTTAGAGGATCTTAGGGATCGTGACACTAAGGAGGGGATCAGGAAGGAGAATGCTGCGAAAGGTGCTGAAGGAAAGGAGAAAGGGAAGGTGAAGGGCAAGGGAGAGAAGGAGAAGGAGGAGAGGGAAAGAGAGAGGGAGAGGGAGAGGGATGCGGAGAGGGGTGTGGTCAAGGGTGTTGGGGAGACTGATGTGCCTCTCAGCGTGCCTCCCAGTGGTAATGGTGGCTTGACGGCAAGCTGTAAGCGCAAGCGCAGTGCGGAGAGAAGTTTCTCGGATGGTTCTGCTGCGGTGCGTGCGGTATCCTGTCACGCTGGTGGTAACCATGTGCCGGCTAGTAACGTTGCTCACCCTGGTAACCACAGGCACGGTGGTAACAACGTTCATGCTGCTGGTAACCACATGCACGCAGGTATTCCCGCTCAGGCTAGTAACCATCCACACGCCTGTAACCACACTGACGCCGCTGGGGCAGATTTCGCAGTACCAGGAGCAGCAGCAGCAGGTGGGGCTTCGATGGGAGGAGCAGCAGTGGCAGGAGGGGTGACGGGAGGAGGAGAGCCAATGGGGGGCGTGGAGCGGATGGGAAGAGCACCAGTCGTACCCAGGGCGAGAAGCGCAGACGCGTTTACAGCACAGAGGAACGCGGACAGAACAGCAGGGCATAGGAGCGCGGATGAAAGTGGGGGCCGCAGGAGTGGGGACGGATTTGGGGGACCCATGTCACCGCCTAGGGTCAGAGTGAAGAAAGCAGAGAGTGGCAGTGGTGGGGGCGAGAGGGAGGCGTTTCGTGCGTGCACGAGTCCCACAGGGCGAGGTGTGGCGCCCAGCAGCACTGCGTCGTCGTGGGGCGAAGGTGAGGCTGCGTGGGTGCTTGATGCGTGGCTGGTGCTCGGTGCTTGGCTCTGCAATGGTCCGTGACCGTCTTTCCGTTGCAACATTGCAACGGTCATAGATTTGTCATTGCTGTGCTTCCCGGCTGTCTTTCCTCCTTGTCATGTCTTGACGTGGGAGGTATGGGACAAGCAAACAACCTCCCACCGTCTCGCTTCGTCTCCGTTATTTCCATGCGAGCAACCGCCTTTGCATCGTGCTGTCTGCTGTCTCACCTGCTACTGCACTCCAAAGTCTCACCCCTTCCCTCCCGTCCGCCTGTTCCTGCTGCCCTGCCCCCGTGCCCACATCCCCTCCCGCTGCTGCTTCTCTCCCCGTGTGCCAACCGCCGACTGCTGCCCCTCTTTCCCCTCCAGGTACCCACACAAAGAGGCAAACCCTACCACACCAAACCCCACCACTCCAAACCCAATCTGACAGCGTCCTCCGTTCACCAGGACATGCGACCATTAACCACGACGCTCACCACTCTCTTGCCACTGCTCCGCGGCCTTCCACCCACTGCTCTGTTCCTCTGCCTGCGGATCCTTCCCCGCATGCCACTGCTGCGGAAGCAGCAGCCCTAGCTCTAGACATGTTTGCCGCTGCCGCTGCTGCTGCGGAGGCGGGTGGGCAGGCAAGCAAGGAGGAGGAGGACGAGGGAGGAGGAGAGGGAAGTGACAGCGGTGGCAGCAGCAGCAGCCGCAGCGGCAGCAGGAGACACAGGAAGAAGCAGCGTTGGGGGAAAGAAGGGAGGAGGGATGGGAGAGAGACGGGTGGGCCTGTGGTGGAATCTACACCGTTGGATCGGCTCGCGTTACTCTCAGATGCACAGCCACGTGTCCATGAGGATTCGCTAGGGCGGCAGAGAGCAGCGTGGGTGGAGGCCAGAGAGGAGGGGCGGAGTGGCGCTGGGGATGGCACGGGCACGGCACTGGTTCAGCTAAGTGCGGGTGTTGCTCAGTTGAGTGCTGGCGGGGAAGCTAGTTCCCATGCTGCTTGGAGCTCAGGTGTTGGCGTTGCGGGTGGTAATGCAATACAAGTAGAAGAGGAAGGACGAGGAGCAACAAGAGAAGGAGCAGGAGCAGTAGGAGGAGGAGGAGGAGGAGGAGGAGGAGCAGGAGCAGGAATAGGAGGAGAGGTTGTGAACGAGGAGCGTAGAAGTGACGAAGACAATTGTCTGTCTGGGCTAGACCTCATAGCAGCAGAGGCAGCGGAGGTGCTTGCAGTGAGGCTGCTTGTATCGGGTATGCAGCCCGAGCGGGCGGCAAGCCCGTCTTTAGCGGCGCTAGTAGAAGCAGCGATGCTGCCTTGTAGGGGGGACAGCAGGGCAGGAGACAGGGAGACTAGCGGGAGGGAGGATTTAGAAAGGGAGGATATAGGGTTGGCGCATATAGGTAGGGTGGATACAGCAGAAGGTGTGGGTGGGGGGTGTGGCACGAGTCAGGGCGCAATGCAGCATGAGGAGAGGCCGAGGGGTGAGGTGGGGCGAGCAGTGGGGTGGGATATGGAGAAGGCTGCTGGGCTGGGGCAGGCGGAGTGGGATTCAGAGACAGCGGGCACAGAGAGGCATGCAGGGGCGGTGCAGGAGTTGGGGGAGAGAGGGGTTGGGGTTTTGGAGACAGGGGTTGGTTGGCATGGATTGCAGGTGCGGTTCGAAGGAGGGTCAAATGGAAGGTTGCAAGGGGAAGGGTTACAGCAAGGGCGGTTACAACAGGAAGAGTTACAACCAGAAGGGTTGCAACAGGAAGGGTTACAAGGGGAAGGGTTGCAAAAGGAAGGGCCAGCACAAGGGAAGGCGTTGCAGGAGGCGTTGCAGGAGGCGTGGAGGCCGAAGCCGAGGATAGTGGACTTGAACGAGCCGTGGCGAGAGGAGGACGAGGAGGAGGCTGAGGTGGTGGTGGGAGAGGCGGTGGAGAGTGCAGCAACGGACCGAACTTCCCCCCCGCATGCAGCAGTGCTCCCAGCAGCGGTAGCTACAGCTGTTACAGCGGCTAAAGCTGTTGCAGCTGCCACGGTTGCTACAGCCCCGGTGCCTCACGGGGCACCATTGCTGCCAGCAGCAGCGGCTCTTGCGCCTGCAGCAGCCAGCGCACGTGCTGCGGAGCTAGAGGCCGCTCACCCACGCCCAGCAGCCGCCACAGCGCCTGCTGACAGCCCACGTGCTGGGGAATCTGAGCCTTCGCCCCCACAGCCAACAGCCGTCACGGTGGTGCCTGCAGCTGGTGCAGGCTGTGAGGCGGCTTCGAGTGCTCCTCCCGCGTCACTGGCAGCAGCCGCGGTAGCAGCACCACTTGTAGTAATAGCCGGGGGTGCCGGTGTCAGTGGCAGCGCAGGTGTCGGTGCTGGTCTTGGCGCCAGTGTTAGTGCTGCCGCTCGTGCTGGTGCTGATGCCGGCGCTGATGCTGATGCTGCATGTGAGAGCAAAGCGCGTGGCCCAGCTGCTTGTGTGGATCCTGGGACTCGCCCGGGAGAGCCTCACGCTGCACGTCCGCACCTGGTGGGGGCGGATGAGCAGGAGTGCGCGGGTCCCAGCGCCCCTCTCCTGGTGTCGTGCAGCTCTGCAGGCGCAGGCCCGGATGATGATGGCCTTCATAGTGCAGGCATGCGGGAGAAGGGGGGAGTTACGGAGAAGCAGTGGCGGGCGGAGGGGTTGTGGGGCGCAGGAGAGGAGAAGGAGAGGAATGTGATGAAAGGGGAGGGGGGTGGGAGGGCAGGGGGTGGGGAGAAGGGTGGGGAGAGTGAGAAGCGAGAGGACAAGGTGAAGGCGGAGAGGGTGGCGAGGGATGAGGGAGGGAGAGAGGGGAATGTGGATGAGGGTGTGAGGAAAGAGAGAGGAGAGAAGAGGAAGCGGGACAAGAGGGAGAGGGGCGAGAAGAGAGAGAAACGGGAGAAAAGGGATAGAGGGGAAGAGAGGGGGAAGGACAGGGGACGAGGGGAAAAGGGAGAGAAGAGAGGCAAGGGAGAGAAGGAGAAGAGGCGTAAGGGGGAGAGAAAGGAGAAAGGGGAAGGGGTGAAGGGGGAAGAAGTGAAGACCGAGAAGGGAGTTAGGCCAGTGGGAAGAGGGGGTGGGGAAGACGGGGAGAGGGGGAAGGAAGAGGAGGAGTGTGCTGCGGTTGAGGCTACGAGGAGCAGGGCAGCAACGTTGGAGTCGATGGTTGGGCCGCGGACAGCAGAAACGCAGGATATGGGCACAGCAAAGGCAGGGGCAGCAAAGGCAGAGGCAGTGCAAGCAGGGGCAGGGGTTGATGCAGAGGCAACCGCTCTGTTGGGGGTGGTGGCGGGGGTGGCTGCGGCACGTGAGGCTGAGCGAAGTGAGGTGAAGGCAGAGATTGGAGAGATGGGGGCGATAGGGGCCAAGGGAGCGCAGGGGGGGAATGAGACGGAGGAGGAGGAGGTGAAGGAGGGGAAGGGAGGTGCAGGTGAGAGGGTAGTGGTTGAGCAGGAGGGTGGGGCGAAGGCCGACGTGGTTAAATGGGAGGAAGGAACGGCCAAGTCGGAGAGTGGGATGATTAGGGATGGGAGGATGGGAGAGGGGAGGATGGGAAAGGAAAGGATGAAAGAGGAGGCAGTGGAGGAGGAGGCGAGGGGTGAGAGTGGAGAGGGAGCGGTGAGAGAAGAGGGGATGGTGAGGGAGGGTGGTATAGCGAGAGAAGAGGGTATGGAGAGGGAGGAGGGCTTGGTGTGTTGGAACGATGATGCGCTGTCAGATGTGAGTGAGGATGCTGATGCCGAAGCTAATGCCGAAGCTGTTGCCGAAGCTGATGCCGAAGCTGATGGCATGGGCGCTGGAGGCTCTGCTGCTGCACTCAGGGAGGGCAGGTTCGGTGAGGAGAGGAGGCGTGGTGGTGGTGCTGTTGGGGAGGGTGTGGAGGAGCATGGCAAGAGTGGGCCTGAGACCTCCAAAGAATATCCTATGCGCCCAGCCTCACCTCAACCTCAACCTCAAGCTGAACCTGAGTTTGAACCTGAAGTGGGCCTACAGAGTGATTCCTCCAATGCTCACGGTCGACTCAAGCCCACATTCTCTGATGTCACCGAACCTGATACTTCTGAACCTGCAGTCTCCGAGCCTAGCTTTGAGGCTCCCCAGAAGGGGCCTCATGCCTCCGAACCTGACACGACGGAAGTGGGTGGTTCCGAAGCTGCTGCTGCAACCGAAACTATGGAAATGGATGCTCTGTTATTGAGCCGACTCAAGCCTGCACTCTCTGATGTCACCGAACCTGATGCTGCCGAGCCTGATGGTTCCGAACCTGACGCTATGGATGAGATTTCTCCTCTTCATGTGCTCCCAGACTTGGAGGCAGCTTCGGCTCCAGGTTCGGCTGCATCGGCTCTAGGTTCGGCAAGCAAGGGGCTTTCATCCCCAGGTTCAACAAGTAAGGCCTCTTTGACTCCAGGTTCGGCAACCAGGCCTAGCCAAAAGGTTCGGAGGGAGCAGGATCAGGAGCGGAGGGAGCATCAGGAGATAACGGGGGAGGAGAGTAAAGGAGAGCTGGTTCCGGGTAAGAGAAAGGGAGGAGAGGAGAAGGGTGGGGAGAGAGAAGGGAGAGAAAAGGGGCGTGATAGTGGAAGTGAGGAAGGGAAAGGGAAGGTTAAGAAGGAAGAGAAGAGAGAAGGGGAGAGAAGGAAGGAAGGGGAGAGAGAGGGGTACAGGAAGGAACGAGTCCACAGAAGGAACTCGAGTTCGTCTTTTGATGTAGGGCAGGAGAAGGGAGAGGAGGGCAGGAGGGAAAAGGGGGAGGGGAGGAGGGAAAAGGGAGAGGAAGGGAAACGAGAGAAAAAAGAAGAGAGCAGGAGAGGCAAGGGAGAGGACAGCAAGAGAGAGAAGGGGGAAGAGAGCAAGAGGGGTAAGGGGGAGGAGGGGAAGAAAGATGAGAAGAAGAGAGCTGAGAGTGTGGACAGGCGGGCAGGGAGTGAGAGAAGGGAGGGGAGCGAGAGGAGGGAGGGGAGCGAGAGGAGGGAGGGGAGCGAGAGGAGGGAAGGGAGTGAAAGGAGGGAGGGGAATGAGCGGAGGGAAGGGAGTGAGAGGAGGGAAGCAAGTGAGAGGAGGGAAGGGAGTGAGAGGAGGGAAGGGAGCAGACGGGCCGTGGAGAAGGGGAGGGGGCGGATGAGCAGTGTGGAAGGGGAGGAGGACAGTGAGGAGGGCGGGATTGGTAGGGGGAGCAGGGAGGAGCGAGGGGGGGTAGGAGGGAGAGAAGTGAGGGAGGGATCGAGCGGGTGGGAGAGGGAGAGAGAGAAGGAGAGGGAAAGGGAAAGCAATTCGGGAGGACGTGGATTGTGGAGGGAGGGAGAGGAGAGAACGAGAGAGGGGAGGGAAGGTAGGGAGGCAGGAGATTGGAGAGAGGGAAGAGAAGGTAGAGAGGGAAGAGAGGGGAGAGAAGGGATGGAAGGGAGAGAAGCCAGGGAGTGGAGGGAGGGCAGGGAGGAGTGGGATGGAAGGGATGGGAGAGATGCAAGAGAAAGCGGCCGAGACAGAGACAGCGCCAGAGAAGGCAGGGAGGGGAGAGAAGGGCGGGAAGGCCGGGAAGGGAGGCGCGAAACAGGGTTCAGCGATTGGCCGCTAGACCCGCCTCTGGATCCCGACGGCTTCCCCCTCCCCGTCGACCCCATGCTGCTCCCCCGCTCTGCTGCCTCCGCTGCCGCCGCCGCTGCTTCTGCTTCGTGGCGAGACGGCCCCAGTCCCAGGCTGTCAGGAGGAGGTGCAGGAGGGGGCATGCGCAGGAGCCCCGACAGGGAGTTTTTCCTGGGGCCGGGAGGGGTAGGGGGGGCAGGGGGCGGGTGGGGCGCTGGGGGGCTTCACCCTCCCCCCCGCGGCCTTCCCCCCGGGCCAGGCAGGGCGTTTGGGGGAGCAGTGGGGGGGCCTATGAGCCCCGCTGTCATGGCTGCCGCTGCTGCTGCTGCCGCTGCTGCTGGGTTGCCTGCAGGGTGGATTGGACCGCCAATGGGGCCACGACACCTGGCGGCGCGCCGTGCTTCTGCTGCTGCTGCAGCTGCGGTGGCGGCTGGCGGGATGGGGATGAGGGGAGGGCCGTTGGGGGGGATGGGAGGGGGGAGAGGGGGCGCTGGAGGGATGGAGGAGCTAGTGGAGTTGCACAGGAGAGGGGGGGAGCATGTGGGAGGGGGAGGGCCCATCCGGGGGAGGCACAGCCTGCGGGAAGCTGCCGCGCTACGCCGCCCGGAGCATCTAGCGGCAGCTGGGTTTGGAAGAGGCGGCATGCATGAGGTTTGGCGGAGGGACGGGTGGAGGGAGGCAGGCATGAGGTTAGGCCCGGGAGGGCCCGGTCCTGGGATAGGCCCGGGAATGAGGATGGGTGGTGGGTTCGGAGGGTATGGGATGGGGCCTGGGCCGGGGATTCCGTTTGTTGGGGGGGGAGGGGGGATGTATGGTGGGGCCCCAGGTCTCCCCCGTGACCCTAGGGACCATTTTGCACTGGAGATGTGGAGGGGGGGTGGGGGGAGAGGCAGTGACGGGGGAAGGGCGGAGGGGAGGAGGGATTCGGATGGGGGAAGGATGGGGTGGGACGAGCCTGGAGGCAAGGAGAATGGGGTGATGGGGGGAGGGGAGAGAGGGGGGCTTGGTCCCCCCACACCTTCTGGGGGAGGCCCAGGGGGAAGGGGGGGGATGGGGGGGTTTCAGGCGGAGGGGAAGGGGAGAGGGGGGTTTCACCCATCGCCTGGAGCAGGGGAGGGGGAGTGGGGGGCGATGGGGAGCGGAGGGGAAGCAAGGGGAGGGGGAGAGAGGGGGGAGAGGGGAGGGGCGACAGGAGGGAGGTCTGGGGGAGGGGGCAGTGAGTGGGGCTCGCCTGTAGGAGCAGGATCGAGTGGGCGGAAGCAGCAAGCAAGCGGAGAGGGAGGGGGAGGAGGCAGTGGGGGAAAGGAGATGTTACGATCTGCTAACGGGCACCGCCGGTAGAGCTGGGTTGTGGAATTTTGGTATGGTACCTGGAGAGTGTATACTAGTGCTCTTTCAGCGGGAGCATGTTGACCGTTTCCGAGGGTTTCCCTTTCCAAGGATCTAGGCTAGCTTTTGCAGTTCTAACCAATGTCCTAGATATAATGTACTTACCAAAACTATTACAACGTTTGTTCCATAGCCATGGCTCAAAATAATATTTTGCAGAGTTGTAGTGCAAATCATGGTTGGGCTTACGATATTGATTCTTATCTCCATAGTGTTTTTTTTTTTTCCCCGGTTTTTACCAATAAATACCGTTAGTGTTACCGTATCTGGATGCTCAAGGCCAGCAGCTCCGGCGGCCAGCGGCGAGAAAAGTGGCACGATTGTTGAAACGAGGTAAGGTAAGGGTACATTCCGCTGTAGAATATGTCCCAATCGATGTGTCCCAATCGATTGAGACGCGTACGTACAGCATATGCTGCCAGGTGTTGGAATGCTGTGCCGCCCGTGGTTGTCGCCGAATGTATTTATCATTGGGTGGCGTGAGTCACGGAACAATCGCCAGCTAATTGCAACACACCCCATCAATCGCACGCGGTGCCAAATGTCATCTCATGCAGCATGTATATGGACAACATTTTGCGTGACCCTCTATCCCCAGCACAGGGCTGACTATTCAAAAAAATCCAGTCTGATGTTCTGGGGGCTCTGAAAATTTTTAGTCTGAGGCATATTTCCCAGAGAATGGCCACTCTGATTTTTCAGGTTCCGCAAAAACACAAGTCTGAAGTACTCAGAACACACTACAACCACTGCAGTACAGTACTGCCACAAATGTAGCACGTGGGGCGCAACGCTAACCAGTTTCCCTCGCTGACACCGCGTAGCTGCAGTGATGGTCCCGCGTGAGTGGAAGAGTGAGCCAAGTTGGCAGATTTCTAAGGGAAAAGGGTGGCAAAAGTTGCCAAGGACAGATTCTGCGCGTGACAGCGCCATGAAGTGTGTTCATACACTGGCAACATATGACGTAGCGGAATGTACGTAGAAATCACAGATCCGCATTTCAGGATCCGTACTCCCTGTAGTATGAAGACCCATTATCGGCTAAGTCAGTACTCTGAAAATCTCAGGATCCAAAACCAAGTAAGTCTGAGGCACTCATGTTTGAAAATCTTACAAGTCTGAAAAATCAGGATCCGTAGGAAAATACCCTGAGATTTCAGACAATCAGACTATTTTAGTCTGATAAAGTCAGCCCTGCCCCAGCAACGCGTACTCAGCGTTGTGATTGGGCGAGACGACACATCCAGAATTATTGACAGGGACGCGCACTCCCCCGCCATTGCGCCTTCCCCCAGTTCCAGTGCACCTCCCCCACAACTCCTCCGTCTCCCATTCCCTTACGAGGTCAAGTTTGTGCACCATCTTTGAAGTACCAATCTGTGATTTTCTCCCAGCCTCCGCTCCTTCTAGATCTAGATCTAGAAACCCTCTAGCCGCCAGCATGGCTCGTAAGCGTAAGGGGCACGCCCTTAACGACTGCCCCAAGGATCTAAACGACATTCCGTACATCCGCTTGATGAACCAGCAGATCGCCAACGGGCGCCATCCTAGGGGATTATCCGCGCCGCCCGTGCTTGACGGCCAGGGATCCAGTGCACAGTCGCCCTCAGCGGCCCCGTCACGTGTGCGCCGTCAGCCTGCAAGGACGGCAGCAACGCACCGGCCAGTCGTGGAGCAGGACGATGACGATGCTGACGACGACGACCGCGACGAAGGCCTCGACTCCGAAGACGAGGAGGAGGAACCAGAAGACCTTGGAATGTCGCCCAGCGACGACGACGACGACGATGAGGATGCCGAGGAGGACGCACCGGAGGAAGCACAGCCTGTCGCATCCCTGCCGAGACGGAGCGCCGCACGCGGACCAGGGTCTGATAAGGGCAAAGGCAAGTCGGCGCAACCTGCAGCACGCCCGGAGCCGCGGAAGAAACGGGCCGCAGCACCAGTCGAGCGGGGCTTATGGTCTGACAAGGAGAGCACCATTTTCGCAGCGGCGAAATGGTTCATGAAAGAGGAGCTCGAGCCTCTCAAGGGGAAGCAGGGGACGCAACACTGGGCCCGGCTGCTCGCACACATCAAGGAGTCGAACCCCGGATGGTGCAGGGGAGTCAATGCACTGCAGAAGCAGTGGCGTAACTTGGTGCTCCTTTGGCGGGAGTACAAGCGTGCCGACGGGGGGTCGGGCAACGGCTCGGTGGAGAAACCACCATGGTATCCGTACCTGGAGCTGCACAACCAAGACACCGCCGCAGCCGCACCGCATGCGGTGGACGGAGGCGGCGCGACTAACGTCAATGTGCCGGCCGGCATGGAGGTTCCAACTTCGTCCCAGCCAGGCACGTCAACACCATGCTTTACGGGTGAGTGTTCCTACTAGTCCACGTTGTTTGGTTCGCATGTCTGCCATACAAGTCGTAGTTTTAAGCTGCCGTTATGATTATCAGCAAATATGCACGATACATCATCATCGTGTGCACGGACTAATCTAACCTACTATCTTCCCCGCTCCTCTGTCACAGCTCCGCCGCCGACGACCACTGCCACACCCAAGCGCGCGCGGGTGCATAAGACGGCTACCATGCAAGCGGCCATGCTGGTCTCCGCCACCATCAAGGACTGCCACGGTGATGCGATGACTCGCATTGAGGGCCTCGTCCGTGAATGGATGGCGCAAGACATGCGACTTGCCCGCGAGCGCATGACTGAATCGGCTCCCCCGGATGTGCACCGAGCGCCGCCGGATTTCTCCCCTCCTCCGCCACGCAGGGAGTCCGCGCCACCTCCCGAAGCTGCACAGCCGCGAGAAGATGTGGGCGACGTCAACACCGTCACTCCGGCTGTTGAGGATGTGGAGATATGGGTGCGCGGCGCCGACGATTAGCGTAAGAGTCCTGGAGTGCCTCACCCAGTCGTTTCCGCCTCTCCCTCAGTGCCTGTTGTGTTGGGGGAACACACAGTTCCCACTTGTGTGTCGCTGCTGCACCCCGCGTCCACCATGGATCGCGGTTGCGGGGAAGGTTCTCCCAGGCCATGTTCTTGCGCCTTACCTCTTGCATCTCTTCACACATGTTGTGCAGGATCACACAACACGCGGCCCCGGCAAGAATGCGCCACAACCTGCAGTCGTTGCGCTGGGCGAAGATGCGCCATCTCCCTTTGAAGGCGCCGATGCACCTCTCCACCGCCATGCGTGTGGCGCTCTGACAGTAGTTGAAACATTGTGCCCAGTCGTCCATGAGGTCCTCTCCGCGTGGGGCATGCAGGGGTGTTAGGCAGTATTCTCGTAGAGGGTAGGCCGCGTCACCAACAATCTGGTATGGGGCTATGTCCCTGTTGTATAACCTCTCAAGTAGTGCAGACTCTTTGAAAACCCGCATGTCGTGCGCGCTGCCGGGATAGCCGATTAGGTAGTCCCATATCCTGCCTCGTGCATCACACGTGAGCTGGAGTTGTACGGCATAGGCCGACTTCCTTGTCCAGTACTCCGCTCTGTGCCCTTCCATCCCTTTCATGTGGATATAAGTCCCGTCCACAGCCCCCACCACTGCAGGTACACCTTTGATGGCAGCAAATTCGCGCGCCATCTCGGGAAGCTCTTCACGTGTGGGGAAGCGCACCCAGGCGGCCTTGAAAACGGAAGGGAACTCGGTGAGGAACACGTCGACAAGCTCGTGGCAGAGTGTCTTGGAGACACCGAACAGGTACGACATGTCGACGTAGGAAATTCCTGACGCCAGGTACTTTAATGGGATGAGCACCGCGGTGTCCATTGTCAGTATTGACCGGTGCACTATGGGCTCTAGATAGTGTTGCATCCCAGTCTTGATATGCTCAAGTATGGACCGGTTTATCCTAAAAAGGTCCTGGAAATCGTTCTCCCGCATGTGCTGCAGGTCTTCAACCCACAAAGCATGACGTCGCCGCCGTACTCTCGCTCTGTGACGGCGGTTCTCCCCGTAATCGTCCCCAAGCGATGAGGACTGCTCGTCCGCGTCCTCGAAAACTCCCGACTCTATCAGGCCTACGAAGGACTTCGCGACATTTTCGTAGAAAATGGTGTAGTAGTAGGTGACCCAGGCGACGAGGAGGCGTAGGATGAAGGGGATGGCTCTAGGCTCTGCTATAGTGTGTGGATTCTGAATGCGTAGTTATGTTGTATGTGCGTTGTTGGATTATGCATACTCACTGCATAGGACAGGAGTAGGGAATGTACGTGCCGTTTTGGCAATTATTGGTAGCGCGGATGTGTACTGTATCCTCCGCAGCCTCCCCGTACATAACCAAGTCTCTTCCGCAGGTCTGGAGGTGCCGGTGTTTGTGCTGCTGGAGTAGAAGTGTGCCAGAATGGACTCTGACCAATCACGGTGGGTCGCATATAATTGTCGCGCATATGAGCAGAGTCGCAATACATCGATCGATTGGGACATGCAGAATCGAGAAATTTGAGCGCGACTCGGCAAAATTGTGATTGGGACACATCGATTGGGACACATTCCACAGCGGAATGTACCCTAAGAGGGTGAAGGGATATATGGCGGTGGTAAAGAAACATGTGGAATAAATTTTAAAAATACCTTACACTAGTAGTAAGTAATACATGTTGCCGCGTATCAGGAACTCGAGCGTGTTGCCGCGCCTGCATCGATGAGCGAGAACTTTTTCCACCTCGTCCTCTGGTTCATCCTGTATGAGAACAGGCGGTAGCTGGCGTCCCTGGAACTGTTGGTTGGGGTCCTTGTAGGGCTTTAGTAGAACATGGAAAGCATTGTGAAGCTTCCACGTAGCAGGTAAGCGCAAGCGGAATGTTACTGGTGTCGCCTCTGCCTCAACGCGAAAAGGACCACAGAAGCGAGGCCGGAGCTTGGACGATAGGTGAGACAGGTTCAAGTTGCGCGTGTCAAGAAGCACCTGATCTCCGACTGCTACTGAGTGATCACGTTGCTGGCGATCGG